TAACCAATGTTTTATAGAGTCTGTGCCACACATGGACGATTTCTTCTTAACAGCGCTTGAACTATTTCATTTACTGCTAATGTTAGGCAGTGATCAGTTTATAAAACCTTTCTACTGAGAGTTTACCTTCTACAAAGTTGTTCTATCCTTGGTGGCCATATGTCATGGTTTATGTCTGTTTAGAATTACCTTTCTTTATTCATTTATAAAGTGCCAACAAATTGTTCAGTACAGTAGAGAAAACATTTAAATATTTGCATCTGTTGTCGGCCCCATTGATGCTTTCAGTCTTATGGCTTTTCCACAATTAATTACACAAAGCGTAGTCAATGTAGTTGATAGCCATTTTAAGTTCAGGCAGCTATATACACAGATGAAATACATATAAGGTAGCTGTTTACAACTGAGGTATACAGAGCCTTGCCACATAGGATAGCCAGGTATATGACACCAAATTCTCTATTACAGTTATAGATGGTATATGGGATACTGTGGTGTATTTTGTCCAAACTCTCCTGCTGAATGGACATTAAATGAGCAGCAGTAGACTGTTGAGGGTCATCCCTCTGCTTGCTTTACTCTTTCCTCCAATCTGCATGTTCCTTGTCAGCATATTTGCCCTTACCTCTCCTAGTCTGAGTTTTTCTGTATAGGGGATCACAAGATACTGATTGCTGGAACAAAGTAAAATTCCGGCATTTATACTATTTGCTTTTAAAAATACATCTAATGATTAATTAATAGACTTAGTGGCTAAGTGATTAGCATTTCCTCCTAGGGACGTTGGTTCAATTCTTAAAAACATCACTCCCTACCTAGAGTTTGCATGTTCTCCACATGGGCTTCCTCCCATCATGCAAAGACATGCTGGTAAGCTAACTGGCTCCTGTCTAAATTGGCCCTGGTATGAATGAGAGTAAGGGACTTTAGATTGTTAGCTCCTTGAGGGCAGAGACTGATGTGAATGTACTATATATATGTGTAATGTGCTATGTAATTTGACAATGCCATATAAGTACTGGTAATAAATAATACAGATCTGAATGAATTTGTGCATTTTATATATCTAGAGCTTAGCTTTAACCTTGCATCATGTTTTAGTATTGTGGGAGGAAGCCGGAATACCTGGAGGAAACCCACAAAAGCATGTGTACACACACAAGTTTATTTAAGCAGAAGCCAAGCAACCTATTAGAACATCAAGAGGAAACCCATGCAAACATGAGAACCTAACCCTATAGCTGACCACCTTTTCCTCTTTTCATTTCTACATCCCATCTTCAAGCTTTATGGTTCTTCCTGCCTATGTTTTTCCCCCTTTCATCAACATCTATCGCCCAAATACATTTCATTTCTGCCTTTGCACAGGAGTGGTTTGTGAAGCATCACACTATTATTACTTAAATGTTTTATAGTTGTCAGTGGCTACCTTGTTTGTTCATAATAAGCAGTTGTCCTCATGTCTCACTCCAGTCATTTCCTATTTGTTGATGACTCTTAAAGCAGACCACCAGGTAGATATAAAAGTCCCAAGTTAATGTAGCTTGTATGAATATATATCCACATCCAGTCTCAGACTAGGGAAGAAAGAAACATTTCAAAGTACCAAATGGTTCATGTGATGCAGTGCCAGAAATATATTGATAGCAGAATAGAACAGAGTGACAGAGAGATTGGCTCATCGGTCGGCTGCTTCTCCTTTCACTGTCCATTCACAAGGTGGAAGTGGGGAGGAGACCTATACATGGTATAGAACTGCAACAGAGACAAATCAGGTCTCTTGCCCTGCCAAAAAGGTTTTGCATGCATACAGTATGTGTGTGTTATTTTATTATATTTTCCTTTTTTTGTTTTCTTTTTCACTTAGGTTTATTGTAATCACAAGTGGGCTAAGACTTGCTCTATCTGATAATTTTGGACAGGTGAAAGCTGATCTTTTTGAAGACATCAGGGGTCTATTAGACATTTATCATCTCCCCTGCCCTCTGCCCCAGTGGACCAAACACAGAACTGTGCTTGATTTGCTGTTTACCCATCTTTTCAGCTGGGATTTTTACAGCTGTGAATCAGAAATGCTCAGAGCCAAACACTTCTGGCTTTACATTCAGCAGAGGATATATAGGAATGGATGTTACCTGATCTCCCACTTACCATCTGGTTCCAGGCCTCTTGGAGCAGTGGGAGCACCTAAAAACCACATCGCAGGGAGTGGGCTCCGGCAAAGGGCTGGGTAGCACCCACAAGTTATTTACAAGTGATTGGGCAGCTCTATGGCCCCCCCAAAACAGTGTTTTTGAAAGGGTGGAAACAAGCAGATAAAAACTGAAATTATTTTAGGCTGTTCAAGCTCTAGACATGCTAGATGTACAAAGAGAATGAGTTTTTAGCCATGAGCCTGGAGTTCAGCTTTCAATGCAATAACTCACAGTAATTTGTCACGTTTTTTTTTTTCATATATTTTAGGCCCCTTTCACAGGCTGACCATTCAGGTTCGCCTGTTCGTTTTTCAGGTTGACCCGATCAGACCATCCATTGTTCTCTATGGGGAGGCAGATGTAAATGGACATGTGTCCGTTTACACCTGCCTGCATTTGAACTGATCGGATCTGCTAAAAACAGACAGATGGGGGATCTGCTCACCATCCGTTTAGCGAATTGGATGACAGTCTGATGTAAATGTACAGGCGGTCCGTTTACATCTGACAGCCTCATAGAGAACAGTGGGTTGCACTCATGCAGAATGGACACAGACCTGTCATCCGCCTGCTCAGCGTGGATCAGCAAACAGATCCCCCATTGAGTAGGCGGATCCGCTTGGTGGAGTTCGTCCGTGTGAAAGGTACCACAAATGTATAATTATTTTTAATAGTGCAGCAAATTCTAACAGTGAATAGCACCAGATTAATATCATCACCAAATTAATATCATTAACAGACAGCACCGCAGATGAACACTGCAGCCAGTGCAGGCTGAAGTATTTAATTTTGTCAATATAGTCCCCAGTCTGTACATAATCTCTATGCCAGAGCTGACATAATGGTAACATGATTAGGAAGCACTCTGACTGGCTCCCAGACATGTGGGGACCCTAGCTGTCAGTGACACCTCCGATTGATGGCGAGTAGCCATGCTAATTGTTAGCTGCTTGCTCCGAAAGGTATCATAGGTATGGGGCATCATGACTGAGAAGGGTAATGAGGGCAGGAAAATGTTCTAGGACAAGTTCACCTTTTGGAACATATTACACGTTTCACCCATATTTAACATGACCACAAGTGTAACATGTTACAGCTCCTGCTGCCGTTTTCTCTGATCTCTCTCTGATTGTGACAGTGAGTGCAGGGAGAAGATCCCTTGCCCGCTGTCACAATTCAAAACTGTGTGGCCACACAGGGCTCCGCCCATGCAGCCACATCACTCATTCACAGAATCCTGTGAATGAATGAACTACAACTACCATCAGCCTTTGTGGCTAAGCTTTTAGTTCTGAATGGACTGTGGGGGCACTGAGCCCTGCAGCTTGTAAATAGTCAGCCTATATGGAGGTATGGGCTGAAAGCTGCAGAGCTTGTTTGCAGGAATCTGACATTGCACCCCTGTTCCACTGATCATGGGTGCAAAGCTTTTCAGACTCTTTAGGGAAAGAATAATAAGTGCACATTTTTTCCTGCAAAAATATGTGCATTTATTATTTTTTTAAAAAAATGAACTTATCCTTTACGTTCTCTACAGGTATATATATTTTAATACTTATTATGCGTTTGCTAGCTATTGTAGTAAAGTAATGCACGTTTTATACATATTTGAGTCAGTAGCAACAGCAGTACTTAAATACAACTTTGTGATATAACCTGAAGTCTCTAGTGATATGAATAGCATGGCTCCATTATTCAATATGTGATTGTGCCAAACAGAATCTGATATTTTAAAAAGCATTCAATCCCAAACTTGCTTGATTGTAACACACTGCAATTCAATATATTTTTCCTGTGGGAGGAAAAATCACAAATAGTTTTAACAGTTGTACCATATACCTTTAACACTTAATACTGCAACTCTAATCAAATGCACAGTAAATATTGATTTCATTGTAGAGGAAACAATTCTCCTAGTTTTTAACATTCAGAGACGAAAATATAGGTTAAAGGAAATTCTAGCCGCTCTCTCTTTTTTAATTTTAATTTTTCCTTTTTTTTCTTATGTTTCTTATCCAGAACACACAAAAGCAAGACATGAAGTACAGAATTTATATTCAGTGAAACCAGCTCCAAACATTTTAAACTTTTTCTATTCCTAACAGTGCATCCCAAAGCACAAAGCAGTAAATAGTTTTGTATCTTGCATAGCCATAACCGAATTTAACAAGTTATATTGCTCTCTTTTAATGGATCTTTTATCTACAGTATAAAAGTTGTAATATACAGTATATTCATATAAAAAATTATTAATAATTTAAGCAGATATAATCTGAAATGCATTTCTCTCTTCTCAAATTTAAAGAATATGTCAACCCAACATTTCATATACCTGATATGTGACTGCTGTAGCATGTGAAAAAGTATACTGTGCTCTTTGTAGTGCTTCCTTTGTGTGAAATCACTGGTGTTCCTGCCAGTTCCTCTGATTTCCTATTAAAAACTGACTATACTAGGCAGCAGAGCACAGTGTGGTCAGTTCTCTAGCTGTGCTGGGAACTCAGTCTTCTCTTCTCCAATAATCAGACTTGTCCTGATATGCCCCCCCCACCCCGCACAGCCATTCACTGTAAAGATTAGTGTTCCACTGTTTCTCCTCCCCCACTTCTCTATGCAGCTGAGAACAGAGGGTATGTGATCACTCCAAGACTGGTATCAAAGTACACTTAAGCTTCAAAGATAATGTAAATATAGTGTTTATATACACTATATTGCCAAATGTATTGGGATACCGCTCCAAATCATTGGATTCAGGTGTTCCAATCACTTCCATGGCCACTGCTGTATAAAACCAAGCACCTAGGCATGCAGACTGCTTCTACAAACATTTGTGAATGAATGGATCGCTCTCAAGAACTCAGTGAATTCAAGCGTGGGACCGTAATAGGTTGCCACCTGTGCAATAAGTCCATCTGTGAAATTTCCTTGCCACTAAATATTCCACAGTCAGCTATTATAACAAAGTGGAAGCAACTGAGAACAACAGCAACTCAGGCACAAAGCGGTAGGCAATGTATAATAGAGCGAGGTCAGGGCATGCTGAAGTGCACAGTGCGCAGAAGTCACCAACTGTCTGCAGAGTCAATAGCTAAAGACCTTCAAACTTCATGTGGCCTTCAGATTAGCACAACAACAGTGCATAGAGAGCTTCATGGAATGGGTTTCCATGGCCAAGCAGCTGCATCCAAGCCTTACATCACCAAGTGCAATGCAAATTGTCGGATGTAGTGGTGTAAAGCACGCCGTCACTGGGCTCTAGAGCAGCGGAGACGTGTTCTCTGGAGTGACTAATCATGCTTCTCTGTCTGGCAATCTGATGGACATGTCTGGGTTTTGCGGTTGCCAGGAGAACGGTACTTGCCTGACTGCATTGTGCAAAGTAAAGTTTGATGGAGAGAGGATTATAGTGTGAGGATGTTATTCAGGGCTTGGGCTTGGCCCCTTAGTTCCAGTGAAGGGAACTCTTAAGGCATCAGCATACCAAGACATTTTGGACAATTTCATGCTCCCAACTTTGTGGGAACAGTTTGGGGATGGCCCCTTCTTGTTCTAACATGACTGCGCACCAGTGCACAAAGCAAGGTCCATAAAGACATGGATGAGTGAGTTTGGGGTGGAGGAACTTGACTGGCCTGCACAGAGTCCTCACCTCAACCCAATAGAACACCTCTGGGATGAATCAGAACGGAGACTGCGACTTCATCAGTGCCTGACCTCACAAATTTGCTTCTGGAAGAATGGTCAAACATTCCCATAGGCACACTCCTAAACCTTGTGGACAGCCTAGAAGAGTTGAAGCTGTTATAGCTGCAAAGGTTGGGCCAACTCAATTATGCATTTCAGTCCCTGATAGTGCAACTGGAGCAAACAATCAACTTTGGGTAGCAAGGCACTGTCAAAAAATCTCAAGGATAATGTTGTGGACAGGCACAAGTCAGGAGATAGATACAAACGTTTATAAAAGGCTTTATCAATGCCTAGTAAAACACAGTGATTCTGATTTTGATTTTTTTCTCTTACATGTTGGTGTTATATTTTTCACTTCAATGTTATAAGTAAGTAAATACAGCTGGACAAAACAAAAACTTTGTCTGTCTCTATTTCAAACGGCAAAGCAACAGATTGTGATTATTTTAAAGTGGAGAGGTGATTCTTTTCTATAGCCACTGATATATATGTAAATAATAATCATTGCATAATATTATTTCATATTTACCACTTTCAGTCAGCAGGTGAAACGCTGAAATGTACAACCCATCCATTATGCAGATGGCCAGGCTGCTTGGTATAGCCTAAAAAGCCATTGTTGTGAAAAGAACTGTATAGAAGAAGAGCAGATTACATACACAGCAGCATGACTCGGAGAAGGGAATCCCCCTTCAGTCTGTCCTGGCAAAGATAGCATGTGTCTGGATTTTCAGTTTGCAGTCAAAAATGCTGTTCTGGAGAGTATCATGATCAAATCCTGTTTAGGATTTTTGTGTGAAAGAATTTATACAAATAAAATAAGCTTATAAACTAAAAAATATATATTAATTAAAATCATATTAATGTCTCCTAATGCTAATTACATGGACACAATTGATTAAATGATTGTATTTAATTTATGAATGGTATTTTTTTTTTTTGCACATCTTGTATTTAAGTCCCAGTATGAAAAAGTCTACAAAGTGGCAGCAAGGTCTCTGGACTCTGATACAGTTTTTTTTTTTTTATTTCGTGACCCAGCAGAAATTTTGGCAAGACATTAGTCTCATGGCTTTTATTAGCATACACTGTGTTTACTAAAAGTCAAATTGAGTTGAAAGTAGAATAATATTATGAACTGTGACAGAGGACAAACTCCAATAACTGCCCCAAATAGTTTTTTGTCTAAAAATGTCTGTTACGTATATTTTAACTTTGGCAGTTATTTCATGATTTCATTATCTCTGTCTATTCAATAGACATATAAAAACATTATGAATTTTTTGAAAATTTGGAGGTGTAACTATAAATAATAGGATGTCATGTAGAAATCCTGTTATACAATTTTCCAAGCTCTAATTTCTTCATTTTCATGGCAATAGCACCACCAGGATACTGCAGGTGCTACTTTTGTGCACAAAACTGCAGAGACTTGGAATACAGTACTGCCCTGTATAAGACCATGAGAGCTTACTGCAGAAAATTAATTGATTTAGTGGACTACTACTGCTGTAATTAAAAGTAGAAGAAAAAATAAGAAAAGAGAATGCAGTCAGCTAGTCCGATTCATTGTCAGGATCAGGTTCCTTCAAGTACGTGTAAGCCCAATCAGTAAAATGCTTCTAAAAACTTTAACATGTTGATGGATTTAAAAAAAAAAGTTTTTCAAAGTTTTAAATCTACGTTTCATTATAATAATATTCCTGTTGTAGGATGACCTCACCTTTTTGCTTTTTCAACACTCATGACATAGGCACAGTCACTTTTGTCACAGTTGTCAGGAAACCCGCTCTGAGTAATTCCATGCACCCATCAATGAAGTGAATGTAAACAGAAAATGGCTACAAAAAAGGTGTAGATCAGCAGCACTGAAATGTAACAAAGGATAAAAAAGGGAAAAGCTATCTTCATTCCACCATCTAACCAAAATGTATATAGGTAGCACCAAAGAGGCACTAACCTATAGAAAGCAGCTTAACAAGGAAACCAACTGCAGCATATTATGAAAAAAAAAAAACAACCTTTATTACATAAAGATCACATCTAAAAAATTAATCACCATCAAAAGGCGAATATAACTGAATTTTCACAAACCACTTTTAAAATAGGAGCTGACAACATTGTCACCTCAATATTACCCCATTTGTGCCCGGGCTGTCACATGCTACAGTCATACCCACATGCATATCACTCAATACTGAGTATCTGAATCATTCACTCTGCCTTTGACATCTAGCAGCTGACATGTGACTGCTAGCTGGAAAAATGGTCTGTTATTGAAAGCTCTGTTCCCTACTAGGGACCGAAGTAGTTCCCAATATTGTGATCCCAGTGTGAGCTCTGAGATAGCAGTTACATGCAGGCTGGATGCTTCATTGCCAAAATTATTATTATTATACAGGATTTATATAGCGCCAACAGTTTGCTCAGCGCTTTACAATATAACGGGAGACAATACAGCAACAACACAGTTCAATACAAGAGGGTTAGGAGGGTTCTGCTTCTCGGAGCTTACAATCTAAGAGGGAGGGGCTAGTGGTACAAAATGTGTTTAACTTAGATATGGCCTCTCTTTATTAGTGCAGTTGTCACACATTAATTTTATAAAATTATCCTTTTATTGCTTGCAGGCAGCACAGTGGCTAAGTACTTAGCACTTCTGCCTGGCAGTACTACGGTCATTGGTTTGAATCCCAACCACGGTACTACCTGCCTGCAGTTTGCATGCTGGTAGGTTAATTGGATCCTGTCTAAACTGGCCCTAGTATGTGAGTTACAGACCTAGTTACATACCCACATAGCTCCAATCCAATCTGATCTGCTAAAAACAAACAGATTGGGGACCCATTGCCCTCTGTCTGGGCGGATTGGATCAGATGGCAGTCAGGCGTAAACGGACAGTCTGTTTACATCTGACTGCCCATAGAGGAGAGCGGGCTGTCATTCATCTGCTGAACTGGGAATCAACACAGATCCCCTGTTGAACAAGTGGATCGCAGACAGAGTCCGTCACGTGTGAAAGGGCACTTATGTCTGTGAAAAAGCATAAAAAGTTAGGTATGCAAATTATTCATATAGTCAATTTAAAGTGGTTATAACGGCAAAAAAAAGGTGTTTCCTCTTAATACATTCTCTGCATTAAGGTTAAAAAATCTTTCAAAAGTTGTTCCCAACACACTTAGCCAGATCTTAATCAAGAACTATGCCCGTCTGCTGCAGCTCTTCTCCCCTCTCTCTCTTCTCACAAGAGACTCAACAGCAGTGAGAGCCATAGCTGATGTCAGTCAAAAGCTATAAGGAGGGTGCGGGGCTTAACTGCGCTGTGTGTCTCTAGACACACACAGCCTGGCTCGGAATCAAGCCTGCACGAGTGCCCCCATATCAAGAAACTTGCTATTTGGAGAAGAGGAGGTGCATACATTACTGATAGCGGACCCCAGAAGTGGATGTTTGGGGTTGTAGAGCAGGTAAGTATAACATGTTTTTATTATGAAAAAAAGGAAGCTTTACAATTACTTTAACTGACACATACTGATGTTACTAAATTTGGCCTGGACTTCTAGATTTCAATGACCCCTGGTCACAAAAAGGGTTAATTAGCTCTACATACCCAAATAAAATAATATATAAGTCCAATTCAATATGGTTTTTCTTTTTCAATAAAGAAATGTTGAATTAATTACAGTCTAATATTTCATCAACTAGCGTGAAAAGAAGTAACATGTTATTAATATCCTGACTACCTTAGTACAGTATTGATATTTTTGCTTAGGCCACCCAGATATTTCATCACATTTTATCTATGACTATATCCACATAGGCCCCAGTGACATGTAACTAGAAAACTCACATTTTATCGGTGTTTTATTACAACTGTTAAACATACATCTTGATCTGCAAAAGTAATGGCTTGAATTCAGCACTCCACTGCCACTATTCTCATGTAACACAAATGAGTTGACTGAAGATGGCTGTAAAAGGAATTCCTCTGCTGATGCATGGAAAAGATCTGGTTACCCTTCTGACAAAGTCTGAATAGACCCCAGGACAGGTCCTATTTGTTCACTCCTAGTATCTGCACTTTGGTTTCCATTGTCCTTGACTGATTCATTTCAGCCTCTAAAATAAGATGACATCCTCTCCTGATCACCATGATGCTGTCCAGACTTTGTGGCTACAATTTCTTAATGTACTGTAGATTACTTTGCTAAAATCACCCTTTTAATTGTTCCTAAATTTACAGTGCAACATAAATTCTGACTAGAAAACTGTTAAAAAATAGAACATGGTTGGAAGAAATGTTGCAGCAATCATCTAAAGTTTCACTAGAGCTTGACCATAGGCAGACACATCTTCCTTAACATTTGTAGTCATTTAAAGTGTGATGGGTGAACGGGCGGTGAGGATGTGTTGTGAAATAAAGGCATTTTGTAAAAAAAAGTCCTAGATTGTAAGCTCTAACGAGCAGGGCCCTCTGTTTCCTCTTG